AAGTTTACAGAAATTAATTCAAAAATAGAAGACAGTTTAACTAAATCCACAACTGAAAGGATTGTGCTATATCTGTCTCTAAACTCAGTTACTATGGTACAAACATGATGCTGCTCAGCTCTCAAAATGGTGGTCAATAATAGGTTTTTCCCTAGTTTCCTTTTCTAAATGGTTTTATTGACCTTTATATTGGCTTTTGGTTCGTTCCATTTACCAAACACTGCACTTGTGCAACAGTGCAGCTGCATAAAAGTGTGTATTTATAGGGAAATGGAAAAGGATGAGGGGGGAAAAGAGTTGAGGAACTAGTGTATCAGCATCCTGCAGCTTTATTGTGTTTTGTAGGGGTTTTTTATAGCTACAGGAGACTAATGTGCTGAAATAAAAAAAGCCACTATCAGTGCCAACTCTCCACATACGTACGTGATGTTTCTTCTCATATATAGAGCAGCTTTGAACTGCTGGCAAAAATGATTGCTATTGAAAAATAATATGGTATTAAATAGCAAAATACTAAATATTCTCTGTTTTAATACTTTGAAAGCATTCAGCAAAGTTAAAAAGTAAGTTTCCTGTAAAAGAAACAAACCAATGGAACTTAATAAAAGAGTATTAGTCACTACATGAATTTTTGACAAGGTAAATATTTTAATGAATCCATCTGCCTAATTCATTAACTTCCTTCCATGAAGGATCATGTTTTTTAAATCTAAAGTTCTACACAAAATTGCGATACCATGTTCCCTCTTTTTTGATGTAATGTCAATGGTGATACAGGATATGAAAGGCAGACTGAAGATTTGTTAAGTAATTTGAGACTGAATAAATGAGATCTTTTGTTACAGAGAGGGGATAGACATAAACTGTACAAGAAACCCTAGTAAAAATATTTATCTTAGTGCCTATGTATAACATGGGAAAATAGTGTTTGTATAGGCAGATGCAAATCTATTACTTCCTTATGAATTATTACACTAGCATATATATATTATTATTACTGCTGAGCAAAATTAAATAAATGTTTATACAAAGACAATGAGAGACTTTTTAGAAGAGGATATGCAAATAACATATTTGAGAAAGCATGACCAATAAGGTCTATGTAACTTTCTTCCAAAGATCCAAGTAATCCCTAAGCATAGTTTCCACAACTACAAAATAAAAGGTTGGTGTTGGATATGTAGGGTCTATTGACAGTAGCATGCTCATTACCCTCCTGAACAATCATAATTAGTTTGGTAAGAGAAGTAACATTGTTTGTGAACCATGTTTATTTATATCCTCTCCTGCTGGACTTTGATTGCTATAATATACAGTGACTTAGGATTACTAAGACTGCTTGACATAGCCCAAAAAATATTCTTGAAAACTAAAAATGCCAGCAGCTTTGCTGCCCCAACTTTACAACTGCTAGTTACTGAATTCTAGTAGCTCCCAGGAGAGGCTGCAGTCATATTACAAAGGTCTGTCGATGGTCATACAGGCAGTCAGGCACGCTGTAGGGGTAGCTCATATGTTGGGGATAGTTGGGCCCATCCTCATAGAGTTTTATGAACTTTGCTAAAATCTTTGTCCTCCTTGTCTTGGCAGTGACATGCGATGGTAGACATATGCAAGGGAGAGGGTAGTATAGTAGATAAAAAGGAAGTGGTGTGTAATGTTAGAGACAACACTTAATAGGTTACAGTATGTGAAAACTTCATACGTGTAAGAAGTGGTCTTTTTCTCTACTAACCCCTAAATGCACTGCAGAACCTTTGCAGGTTCAGGTGCCTGCAAAGTAGAGGCACGGCTGAGCCAAACTGATCTGAGTGAAGAAAGTGCATGGGAGAAAGTTAAAAGGTCCTTTACAAGGCAACAGCCACATTTTCTGTTTTCAGTTACATTAACTAAATATTCTTATCTTGTTAATATTATCTTAAGTCTCTGCTGCATTATACATACATACCCACCAGTCTAATACAAAATTTTCCAGTAACATCCCCACCAACTCAAAAGCATTAGATGTCGCTGATCACACACTTGTGTACTAATTAACCTTTTGTGAAAAAGGATTTTTTTTTCTTTTTTTTTTTCTGTAGAGAGGTTAAAGGACATCCACTTTCCTAACTGAAAAGCCATTGCAACTTTTCTGTATATGCTAGTTATGCATAAGAAGGCAACAAAATTAATTAAGGTCTAGATTCGTATCCATTTTCCACCTGCCATGTGCGTAACAATTGCAGCCATCTTCTCATTCCTGTTGTTCCTGGTAGGCAAGGGAGAAAGCAGGAAGCACTCTGTTAGCAACAGCGCAGTGAAGCAGCCAAGCCTAGTAACAGGGAGATGGTCCCCATTTGGAGTTAGACCTGGCAGAGACCAGCCTGTGCACTGAGCTGCCCTGGAAGAACAGATGGGGCAAAGAAAATGGCAGAAGCTCAGAGCAAAGGTGATCGATCCGGTGACGTTTTGTGCAAGAGATGTCACAACAGAAACGTTTTTCACGGACTGTGGTCACCACGCTAAGAGCGTTAGCAGCCAGTTTAGGTGGTGACTTTCTGTAAATGGGAGCCTGCAGCTCAGCAGAACTGCCTTGAGCAAACTGCTGAATGAAAAGTTGTAACCAGCCCAGAGGAGAGAGAAGGAAGGGCAGCAACATGCAGCAATTACAGCTTAACAGACATTATTTTATCTCTTTTGAAGGTGGTAATGAGGTCTCTGGAGCCCACCTCCTCTCCAGCTGTTTGTACTGGACACTTTTTTCCTTCTTCTCCTATCTTCTGCCTTATCTGTAGTCATCGATATGTACAAAGACAAGCACTCCCAGCAATTTGGAATGTGTATTTTGGGCTGACCTGGTATTATTACCTCTTGGCAAGGTTGCCTGACATTATGAGTGCCTTCAGAAGGTTATGTGTTTGCTAAATTACAATTATTCAGGATGAATTTTCCTATATGAGTACTGCCGCAAGCAAACACTTTTGGTGGAGGGAGGTATCAGACCAGATAATTTAGTTACTTCTGAAAATAAGGTTAGGAAAAGTACACTTACTCATACTGAAGATAAATCCAACTGCCCTGCCAGAGCGATGTCATTTTTACAGCTGTTATGGAGATAACAGGAAGATTTTAGGCAACTACAAAGCTGTCAAAGCTCTAGTGATCTTATGCTTTGCTTCTTCCTTCCTAAGTCAAATGAAGGCAGATTGGACTTTTTTCCCCCAAGAACCGCCTACAGTCCTTCAGTGTGTGCATTTGCAAAAGGGCTTTGAAGGCCTTTTCTGGAAAAGCTGCATTACCTCAGGGGTACAGGACTGGGGTTTGGGTAGGGAAGGCTGAGGTGGGGACAGGCAGCCCAGGGTGACACTGGGCAGGAACCGGGCAGAGGCGGGGATGCCAAAGCCTTCCCTGTGGAGGGACAGCCAGCACATGGCAACACCTTCAGACTGAGGTATCAGGGTGGCCCCAGTGGTAAAAGGATGGTTTAGTGTGAAAACCTGCAGCACTCCTCATGTGAGCCTCTGAGGGCCTTTTGAAAAGCACCTATTGACACCAAGAAATATTAAAGATGAGCACAGTGATTCACCAAGTGGAAAGAACAGAGAAGTCAGGTGAGAAATCTAGGGAAAGAGGTCCCAAAAGCATGTCATAGCTAGGACCAGGGGTGGGCCAGGAAGAAGGAGGAAGGGTGGGAGATGAGATAGAAAATGCTGAGGTAACATAGGGTGGAAAGGAGAGAAAAAGCAATGGGATGCAGACAAGGGGACGTTCTGAAGCAGCCAGACAGACAAACCAGAAGAAGGGATAAGCATTTAGACAAGAAATGCTAAGGCATTTCTTCAATTCTAAGATGTGTTTTGACTATCGATGATAAGGTGCAGACAACTGAATTGGGGTACAAGAATCATGATTTGGAACTGACTGGAAAAAGAAAAGTGGTGCAAGACAAAACAAATTAAAAAAACCAACTTGATTTAGCTGATTAAACCTGGGTTTCCCATTCTTCTTAATAATCACTGAATGAAAGATTGTTAGAATATACCTATGCTGTTTCTATTCCTTTGTGTCTTTAGATCAAAAGGAAAAAAAATGCATAGGACAGTGCAAGGAAAAGGTGATGAAAAAGCAAAAAAATTAAGCACTTTGGGCCCAGGGACCACACTGTAGCCAGAGCTCAGGATCCCTCCAAGCAGCACGGGTCAGACAGTGCCCTTTCCGTCCCTGAGCTGGGTGACCTGTGTGTAAACGCGGGTCAGGTCTTCGGGTTTTTTTGGCCATTTGCTACCTTGCTCCTCGCACTGTGTGGCAGAAGCGATCCCCGCCCTGTAAGGAGGGCGAGAGTGGCTTTCTCTTTGCCCAAGGTGGGACACGGGGTCTCCGGACACCATTCCCGCTGTAAGCAGAGGAGGGCCCATTACCTCACGGCCTTCTGCCTCAGGGGCAGTCCGAGCCAGGCTGTGTTACAGCAGTTTCCTTCTGGCAGCCTACGAAGCTCCTCGGCACGCTGAGCCCCGCGGGCCTTCACACCGCACACCCTCCTCCTCACCGAGTAACCCGAGTGACCACCTCAGCATGGCCGCCCCGGGCCTCCCTTCCTCTTCTGGGCCGAGAGCTTTGACGACTGCACGCCTGCGCGAACGAGGCCTAGCCTACTCCGGCGCTGACAGGAGATCGCCCCCAAACACGAAACCCCGATCGTCGCGTAGGTCTCGGCGACCCTCACCCGCCACCGCCGAGAGGGAGCGGCGGGCCCAGCGGCAGGCAGCGGCCCTTCACCGCGCCGCCGTTGCCATAGCAGCGCGCAGCGCGCAGCGCGCGGGCAGGCCCACCCCTCCCTCTCCCACAAGGCAGGC